GGGGAGGGGGGAGAGGGGAGGAGGGACCAGGGGGACAAGAAGCAGGCCTCCGCCCCGGAGTGGCTCAGCGATATAGTGGGAAGCCTCTGTTCTTAGAACAGCTTTTCCACACACCTGTCTTGCGTGTTATGACAAGTTTATAAGAATGACAGTCTTTTCCATTCTATTTCCATCAGTGTCCATGTTCAACCTGAAATGCTGCACACAGGTTAAAAAGAGTATTTTTAGTTCTACTCTCCTTGACAAAAATTTCTGAATTTACCTTCATAGCCGTGTTTATTAGACAACAGAGAAATGGGTAACCGAGATGGTGAAGGCCACCGACTTATTCTGATTAAAAATCGGCTGCTGGCACTGAAGCCCGCCGAGGACCAGTTGCATCGTCCTGTGACCTTGGACTTGCGGCTGTGTGTCATCGTCTGGTTGTCACACGGCGGGCAGCGAACTGCTCCTCGCTAGGTTATGGGTGTGGTGGTCAGAAATCCTCCCAGGTAGGTATCGAGCTGCTGAGGGGTCTGCACAGAGCCCGTCTTTGGGGACTGCTCATACTGTTCTCTTCAGAGCAGTAATCAGAGTGTTAATAGTGCTTTTAAATCACACACACACTCAGGTCAGGACCCAGACCTCATGAACCAACCCCTGGGGTTGGAGGCCTAGTAAGTGTAACTCGCTACTAGGGTATTCAAAAATGGAAAAGCACGTTCATCTCACATTGTTTTCTCTCAAAGCACAATGGTTAAGCAGCAAAAGGCGAGGAACTACAAAGAGCAGCAGGAAAAAGGACTAGCGAGACCAGAAAGGTGCACAGAATTCACCAAATATACATATTTTAAAGTTCTATAAGTGACTGACTTCCACTCCCTGCTTGAGAACCGTTTTTCTAAGCTGACAACGCTTGTCGTCTTTCAGTGCCCACCAGGACTTTTCACAGGAGGTGAAGGACACGGAAAAGTCAGCCTTCTTGGATCAACACATATCGCTACAGCACCTGCACCCCAGTCACTCGCTCAGCACGAAGGTCACGAACCCTGGAAACAACCGTAGAGGGCAGGTCCGACCCCACACGCCCCTCCTTCCAAAGGAGAATAATCCTGCTTCTTTACTGATTTTCCTCATCTCAGGAAGTTCCCTAAGATTCAGCTCTGATTCGTTCCCGTGCACAGCAAATCCAAACCATCACCAAGTCCCAAATCCATCCACTTTCCTCCAAATCTAAGGCATCATCATCTTCTCGTGGACTACAGCAAAAGTATTTCTGTTGCCATTATTTGCTTGTGTGTGTGTGTGTGTGTGTGTGTGTGTGTGTGTGTGTGTGTGTGTGTGTCTTGCCACTTCCACACAGAAGGAATAAGAACAGAAGACGGGGAATGTTAGACAAAACTACCCAAGTTGAAAATAAAGGAAGGGCCCTAAAATTTAACAGTGGAACATCAGAAGCATTCCCGTAACAACAGGAAAAGAGAGGATTATCTGCTGCCAACACCTCTGCTCACTGTTGTTTTGGAAGCTAACTGATGAAATATGGCCTCCAAATGAGATAAGATAGTAGAAAAGAAACAAAAAAAGTTAGCATGTAAAAAGCAATAGTTTTCCTATAGAACAGGCATAATCGACAAGAAAATGTGATGGAAAAAAAGAGCTTCATTCTAACAGCCACGAAAACTATAAAGCAACTTGAAATAAAGCTAAAGCCTTTAGTGACATGGGATTAAACTTCACTGTGGGCCCAGCAGACACCTTGACCAAGGATGGAAGCTTGTTCCTGATTTGGATCTGTGGCAACGTCCTAAGTTTAATTCAGGTATAAGACACTGCTAACAAGAGACTGTAACTTGATTACAGTGATTTAAAATTTCATATATAACAAATGAGAAAATTATTTTTAAAATCTCCAAAAGAAGAGTTATGGGGTATCAGGGGAGGGTGGGTCGCACTTCCTCACAGCAGTTAAACGGCAGTGTACTGTCAGAGTACAGTAATCCAGGAAGAGACCCAAGGATACGGCAACGGTTAGCATTTTAAAAAGTAGGAGAAAAAGAATATTCAATACTTTAAAAAAATGAAGCAATTTTCCAAAGAATTCCAAGTGTTAAAAGATGAAGCCAGGGCCGGCCGAGCGGCTCAGTTGGTTAAGAGCTCGCTCAAGAGTTTGAGCTCTGAGCAACAGCAGTTCGAGTCCAGCCCAAGCTGAGCAGCCGCTGAGCTGCCAACAGGTAGCAGGATGGCTCAGCTAAAAAAACAAAAACAAACAAACAAAAAAAGATGAAGCCATGAAATTATCAATGAATGAGAATTTGGTATACATGAAAGCAAAGAAACCATGAGAAATGACACAGACTTGACTACTTACAAAGAAAGTGAAGCCTTTTTCTGTCAGAATAGGTCGAAAGCAAGAAAAGCCAGCAGAACACACATTTTGCAAGCCAATTCTATGCCCTTTTACGTTAGTGGAATTAACAGAATCGGAGAGACGGGGGCAGGGCTGGTGGAACGGAAGCTGTGGAAGAATCAGACTCCTCGGTGATCACAACCGACCACCTGAGGCTTGGAGGGAGACGAACAATGCGTTTCCTGTACCCACAAGGCAGCCCAACGCCATCCTTGCGATGTGGAAACTTTAATGCTACCATTTCTTCCTTAAAACAGCCTCAGTTCTTGGTCATTCACCAGGATAGTTCAAATGTCCTTGAGCTTCCTTAAAAAAAAAATTCAAATGCAGGAAAGGCTATCAAGAGTAATAAAGAAAGCACCCACGTACCCCTCACCTTAAGAAACACACTGCTAATTACAGTATAATTCTCCTGTGTAGCCCATCGCTGTTACACCTCCTTCCTTCCCCGGAGGCAGCCAAGGGGTGACCTCTCATCCCTGAACCACATGTCATGCTGTCCTGCAAACACGGACTACGCACCACAGGATGCTATTAAACATACCCCCTCCTGCTCAGGGGTCATCATGGTGCCATGGTCGTACTGGAGACCATCTTTACTCCTGTGAAGTTAAACGTGAAGTGAAATGAATGTGTGTGCACATGGGTACATGTGTGTATATATATGAAGGGGGGGGAGTGGTGTGTGTGTGAAACCAAGATAGGAAAATATTCACATCATGGGATCTGGGTGCAGGGTACACAGGGGCTCGCTGTCTAGCTGTTCAATTTGTCTGTACAGGTCATGGATGCTGGATCATGAAATGTGGGCTGGAGCCCTTTGGTCCCGAAGAGTGATGCTGCTGCCAGCCTGCAAGCCTGTCAGGTGGCCTGTGGGCCCCAACGGGAGCCAGGTGCCAGAGGTCGTACAGGGTGGACGGAAGGCAGCCCTAAGTGTCTCGGCTCGGCCTGCAGAGCTGTCTGCTTTGACCAGCACAAGGCTCTAAAACTTCAAAGGGGAGTGTGAAGGTACTTTGGGGGCAGGGTATAAAACCAGTGCGGTCGCCCCTGTTCCCACCGATCCTTCTGTCTTCTACTCCACTTACCTGCCAGCCCATGCAGGCACTGGGTTTGCGCCCTCTGACTGACAAAGGACCAGGTCTCACGTTGGTACCACCCTACTCCCAGTGCAGTGTGTGATGAGACGGCATGGCAGGTCCAGCACACCCCACCTTTCTGTGGATGAAGCGTACGTACCAATGTACATGTCAGCTCTACTCATTAACTAGCTCTATTCAGGAAACAAAAAAACCAGCTGTAGATACAGACAGATAAGAATAAAAGCCAAAGGCCCCCACAGCTCTGAATGCACGCAGCTCAGGACGTGCAGCTCCCTGTTTCTGGGCCTCTGTGCGTGCCGGCGGCGCTGGCTGGAAACTGTGCTTGTCACCGCTCACTGCTCACCTCATGGGTAGTGGCACGTACAAAGGAACTGTCCTGTAAACGTGTGATGTGTTGGTAGATGGGGTCGCATGACTGAGACAGACAGAGGCAGCTGTGGTCCTTGGCCACTCTAGGTGTCTGGGGTTGAATCCCCGATGTCAGCCAGACTGCCTGCCTCCCCCGACTTCCACCAGCCCCTCCCCCGGGACGCCATCCACCCAGGTGGGAGGCTCTCCCTCTCCGGCTGTTTGGAAGACTGCCTCCATGCCCACGCCGTAGGCCTTCTTGTCATCAGAATCATACCTGTAACACTGGGATTTCTGACCCAAGTCCATTTTTGAGAAACAAGACTCTTACACTCCTGCTGTTTCCAGTTCAGAAACAACTTTGTTCTTTTATTTCCCAAACCAAAAAAGCACATTTAGCACACAGCACATTCTAAGCTGACCACCCACTTCCAGGGGAACCAACCGCCATGGCTCCCTCCGGGGCAGCAGTGAGCACCCAGCACGTGTCATCTGAAAACCTCTGAGGTTCGAGTGTGTTTCTTCTCATGCTGATGGCTCAGTGCATCTGCGTCCAGCCTGACCTCCCAGGAGAACCGCCAACCAAATGCTCACTGACTTGGGCTGGATGTGTTCCGTCTAAACCAGCCCCTCCTTCCTACAAAGGGCAGGCCCTTCGATAAAACTTTCGGGAGACCATTCACTCAGCGCCAAGCTGTAGATACTAAGCTGGCCACATTACACGTCACACAGTTTAATCCTTAGGACACCCTACAGCTTGGGTCCCACCGCCCACACTTCACAGCTGAGTTAGGTGACCTGGCAAGACCCACACAGCTCTGAGTTTCTGCAGGGGTAGGGGGCGCGTATTAACTCAGGAGGATAAGTGAAGTTTGTATCCTTTCCAATAGTAATGTGCTGCTCTCATCACCTGTGCGAGGAACTCACGTCTACCCCTTCTGCCCGACCCAGCTCACCCGGCAGCGCACACCTAGCACAGCCAGCACGGTGGCTCCAAGCACAGCTCAGGGGACACACAGATGTCCCCCTCACTGGCTGTGAAATACCGCTCATGTTATCACGTGGAGTCATTCTGGCTCTTGGCAAGAGAGCACAGAGGTAGAAAGTCAGGGACTACCTGGGACGGTTACAAAGGGCTGCCCGGAGGAGACGCAGGCACACGGGGCACACAGTGGACTTGGGATTGACAATCTAGGTCCATCTGGCTTAAGCCTGTGTTCAGTACCAGTTCGCTGGGGTTTTCAGGTGTGGGAGCCATGCCCCTCCTCAGTCCTCTCTCTGGTTCGTGATAAAGGCTTCAAAACAGTCTGATAAATGAATGGACAAACCAACAACCACCTGTCAGAACCTGTCAGAGTGTGTCGAAACGCACTAGGCTTCGAGAAACTTGTGACCACATAGAGATGTACTTTATGCCTTGCCATCATCACTGAGCTGAGACAAGCCACTCTAAAGGGACAGCTGCATGCACGTGCCACCTGAATGTCGTTTTCATGAGTGGCAGTCTTTTGGTGGCACATGGTAACTCAGTGATCTGGGCAAGTTATTCCGTGTCTTCATGCCTCAGTTTCCTCTACTGAGACGTGGAGATAAGAACGACCCACACCTCACAGGTGGGCGAGGCTGAAGTGCAGTAAGGAGCACACAACTGTTCAGCAAATAACGGGGTGTGTGTGTGTGTGTGTGTGTGTGTGTGTGTGTGCATGTGTGTGTGCGCGCATTTTCACGGGTCATAGGACCAGCACTAGCCATAGCTGCTTATTAGTAAAGCGGGGAGAACCTGGAGGGAGCAAGAGGAAAACGGTCACTTCACCAGCAGACGCGCAGCTACTTACTGGCCCCACGGTTAAGAGTCCCCACCCCCAAGCCCCCACACAGAGCTTTCATTCCGCCCCAGCTGCAGGTGAAGGCCAGCACACTGCCCAGTGCCGTGCCTCACGGCCCCGCCCCTGCTCAGCGGCAGCGGAGTCTTGAGAGAGATGCCTTGTCTCACTCACCTGCCTGCTGCCTGCCGTCTGGGGCCTCCGTGCTGCTGTGTGGCTGCAGACTCGCAAAGGCGCTGCTCTCTGGCTGGCTGCTTGGTGCTTTAACAGCGGGTCCCAGGTTTGCTGCGATGGCAGGGAAATGCTGGCCCCTCTTCAGAAGCTGTTTATGCTCCTGGTGGCGAAACCGTGGCGGGACTTCGCGAGGGTACCGGGGCAGGGCCTGAGGCTGCTGGGGCTGCTGCTCGCTGCTGGCTGGGGCGTGCCTGGCATCGTTAGCGGTGCTGCTCGCTGTGGAGGGGCCGTTCTGAGAGCTGGCAGGCGGAGGCTGGCTGGCACTGGGCCTTATCTGGTCTGGCACTGGGCCAACAAGAGAAAGAGGTGGAAAAGATTAGCCGGGGGAACGTGCTTCCAAGGGTAGCCCTCCAGTAAAAAGGCACCCCGCAAACAGCCCTAAAAGAGCAAGAGCTTCTAGTGCGCAAGGACCCCTCGTTCACGGGCTCCGGCTTCCCAGGAGAGGTCACTGCCAAGGGTCCACACACTTTCTGCAGACTGGTCCGTGAGGTCATGGAGACCCTCGCATTCCTTGGCCTGGGTGACAGCTCATGTGTAACCCCCTGTCCCACACTGTCCTCTGACCAGAGAACAAGGCCAATGAGACACTAATTATACACCGTGTGGGCCTGACAGAGACGAAAGAACAATGTGAGACATCAAGTGCCAGTGATCCTGGAAGAATCAAGACCCTTAGTTCCTTGGGAACTGTTCTTAATCCGTCTCATCGTTACTCCTTTCCATCTTTGCAGGACAACACAAGAACAAGGGTACAAACCGTCTGGCGGTTCCCTTATGAAAAGGCAAAGTTAAGGATGTTTTTGTTGTTAGAATGTAAAGTCTGAATCAAATAACACAAACAGAGAAGGGAAGTAAACATGAAGATTATAACAGCATGAAAGCTGAGACTAATCAAAACTGGAGAGTACCTTGGACCGCTTGTCAGAAGCCAATAGGAGAAACAGCCATTTGTCTACTGTGTGAACAAGAAGCTACAGACAGTGAACTTTTGGACCCTAAAAGAGAATGCACTGATGGAAATGCCCTAAATCAGTTCTGATATACCCAATCTCTAAAAGTACCGAGAATAGCATGGTCGACGAATTTGTGGTACCAGATGAACCCAGGTTTGAAGCCCAGCTCTGCCTGTACTAAGCGTTGGGTCTTTGAGCAAGCTGCACAAACCTGACTGAGCCGATGGTCTCCTCTGGGAAACGGGGTGACACCTTGCACAGCTGTCCTAAGGCTACATATGTGACTATTTACAGAGCACCAAACACAAGACTATATAAACAGTGGCTATTTTCTTTCATGATGGGCACACTCCCACCTTAAACGTCTGCAGCAATTTAATGTTTCTGTGAGGCTGTGATGCATCTTCCCAGATGCCACTGTCATATAAATGAAGTGAAACGTCTCTGTGCGGGCAGTGGGGACACTCACAGAAAACTGTTCAGGGTTAAGAGCGCCAGGCCTGATATGAAAACAGCCCCAGCCTCGCAAGGTGGGTTGGCTGTGTCTTTCTCCTTGTCTGCACAGTGCTGTCTAGGGCTAGTACGCAGCATGATGTAAACACTCAGGAAACACAAGCTATTACTGTGGCCCAAATAAAGCCAGCAGCCACCAAACGCCTACAATGTACATGCTGCTGTGACACAGTGTTTCCAGTAGGTACCCAGCTGCCTCTTACACGCCCTCAGCCTAGAGCCTTCGCGGTTAACAGTCTAGCCCCACAGTCGTCTTCTCCTCTGACGACCGACGGATTTCCACTGTATCACTAATACTAACACCTTTTAACACGATTTAGCCCTCTTAGGTTTTTAAACTTGACTTTGATCTTTCTAAAGTAACACAAGTAAACTGTGGTTCAGGAGGAATGCTACTGAAATATACGAACATTCTAGTGCTTGAAATCCCGTCCGTTCTCCTCCAAGGCGACTGAAAGTCTCTCACTGATAACTATTTGGGACAAGTGCGTTCAAGGTCTAAGTACTTTGCGTAGAAAATCTCGTCTCCCAGACAATGTGATGCTCCCAGAATGTGGCAATAACGTATACTTCCTTGCCACGAGGGAAATAAGGCATCGGATACTCTAAAGTACCTTTGAAACCACAAGATAAAGTACAGTAATACCTTGGTTTGCGAGCATAATTCGTTCCGGAAACAAACTACTCGTATTACAAGACATCGCTCATTTACCACGTTGAAATGTATTAGAAATGTTTGTTCGTCTTGCACAACGCTCGCAAACCAAGTTACTCTCAATCTAAGGTTTTGCTGTATATGCAACTCTAACATTGTAAGGAAAATAAAAACCGTAACTCAGCTTTTACATGCTTAGTACTTGAACGTGACCGTAAAGTGGTACAGTTTACCCACTGCCGAAAAACAGGAAAAGGTTGTGACAGCACCTTAATAGACCAAAAAGATGTTACTTAGGTGAGACGGCAACAGGAAAACATTCTCTAACACATGCACAGACTTAGACGACAATCACAGACAAACGCCGGGAGTGATCAGGGCCCCAGCACCACAGCAGAGGTGACTAGGAACTCAGAAGCAGGACTCCCCTGCAACCAACCCAGCCCCTGCTTCAAATTCAAACAACTGCTGTCTTCTCATCAGTCAAAGTGCCAGGAGGAGACTAAGGCTCAGGCAGGTGCTCACTTCTGGGGCCAGAAATCTTCACTCACACCAACAAAACCATAAGGAGTGTTAAGTGCTGGCTACGCAATGAAAGGAGATAATCTGAAGGACACTCCAGACGTGAGCCCGGGACACAGGAATAATGAGTAAAGGAGATGCTAACAGTCATGTAGGCGGGGGAGGGGTGCTGAGTGACACATACAAATACTGAGCAGTACTGGCTGCTGTGCGTGTGCAGTTAAACTTCAGATTAATTACGTCAGTAAATAAAAATAAGAAAATCGATTCCATTCGAAAGATACAGAAAAGGCATGAGGAAGAATTATTTCAACATTGTGGTGAATACGTAACACAAGTAGCTGCTGAGAAGACTCCAAAACGCCTGCAGCCTGCAATCAAAACAACTGTGGGTGGGCTAAATTTCCTTGTTAATAAAAGCTCTTAAACTGGATTAAGAAAAGAAAAGCAAACTTAAGGAATGTACTTTGCAAAAATCACTCCTGAAACAACAGGAAATAGAGAAAAACACAGGAAAATTGGGGGGAGGGGGAGAGTATGAAGACAGATACCACCAAGAAATGCTAACAAAATTTAAAGAAAGCACTAGTGATATCAGATTTTAAAACTTCAACGAGAAAAGCATTATACAGGATAAGAGGTATTTATAGTAGAAACCAATTAAAAAGAGATAAACAGCTAAGAATATTTATATACCAAACTTTACTATCAAAACATGTAAAACCAAATGGAGACAAAGAGAAAAATGGAAAAAAAAAACACAACACCAAAGACTTCGAAAACAGAGAATATAACATCTTTTTTGGCAAGTACCCATGAAACAGTCATAAAAAGTTCTCTCTCTCTCTCTCTCTCTCTCTCTCGCTCTCTCTCTCAAGAAAACATCAAGTTGCAAAAAGTAGAAATAATACAGACATTTCTGTGTTACAATGCAACCACAACAGAAACAACACTACTAGCAAATGCAATTTCCCTAAATTTTGAGTTGAACAGTAAATACCAAAACTGTATGATTATCAAGAAAATAGTGAAAAAAATACACAATAAATTAAGCTATGGCTAAATCACAGTGTTAAAAAAAAATTCACAGCCTTAATTATTTTCAGCAAGAACATCCAACTCAAGTTAAAAAACAAAGCAGAAAGGAGAACTTAGTAAAGATAAAAGTAAAAATCAATTACTTTCAAAGTGAACCAATAAAATCCAAGGCATGGGTCTATGAAAAAAAAATAAAATACTAGTTAACCTAATTTTTTTAAAATATTAGGCTCAACTTTAGGCTCAACTCTACAAATAACTTGAAAAACTGGAGGTGAAAATTATTTAACAATGATCCCAGAAAAGAGAAAAAAAAATAGATTAACATATAGAAGAAATGGAGAAATTTATAAAATCACCAATCAGGATCGGACGGCTTCCATGGTTGGCACTACCACACATTCTATCAACTGGCATACTTTCAAAAGACAGCGTAAGATGGAGCACCAGCATGACACTGTTACCAATAAGTCAGACAAGTTGCGTGCTCTCAAACAATGGGGGAAAGAAGAAATGTAAATAGTACCCAGAATAAAAAAAGAAGGTAATTTCAAATGCAGAGACTGTGGCAAGACAAGAAAATACTGGGTTGTCAGAAAAGTCATGACGCATTTTTGCAACGAAAAACAGAAAAATACATCATGACTTTTCCGACAACCCAATACTACGGACGATCAATCTATGCCAGTAAAACAGAAAACCCAGCTCTCTGGACCAGGCTCTGGAACAGGCCTCAGCAAACCATTTCTGCGAAGGACAGAGAGTAAGCATCGCAGGCTCTGCAGTCCACACGGTCTGGTCCAGCTACTCAACTCTGCGGCTGCAGCGCAAGAACCAGACACAGGCAACACATAAGTGAGTGGGTGCAGTTATGTCCGACAAAACTTCACACAGTGAAGCAGGCAGGGGCTAGATCTGGCCTTCAGGCTGGGGTTTTGCAGCCTCTGATCTATAAAATACAACTGACCCAAATGAGCTCACAGCGGAGAAGACAACCCTACAGGGTAACAGCCGACGCTGAAAAGGCCCTCCGAGATCCAGCTGTCTGGAGCAGCAGGCCCAGATGACCTGCAGGGAGTGTGCATATAAAGTACTTGAGAAACACGCAGGGTATACCTTACAGAAACTGTCCCGGAACCAACAAGTGCAGCTCCAGAGGCCTGGCTGGGTCGAGCGTTGGCCTTGCAGCGTCTGGCCGCACAGCCGTGGACACGGTATTAGCCTGCGTATATCTGTGTCCTCATGAGATAGAGGAGCGGGTTTGTTGTGAGGCTGTAACATGAGGATGGATGGACGTAAAGAACTAAGAACAGTACCCAGTACATGGTCAGTGCTCAGTAAATATAAGTGCTCCACGTACGCATCCTCTCATCCACACGAACGCTGCAATCCTCCAAACGGGAGCCCAGCATGCTGTGCCTGTGACATCCCTTTTGCCTAAAATGCCTTGACACCCTTCTTACAAATCTGCTGACCACCCGTCCGACGGGACAGCTGATTACCGCACAGGGACTCAGCAGACTCAGAGCCGCTCAGGCATCCCCTGAACCTGCACGTGCTTCTAAGTGCCGCTTTCTTCCTTCTCCTCCCCTGTATCCGTACCG